GATGTGCTTCTCTCATGTTTTGGAATGGTTGAAAAGCATACTGAAGATTGAATCTAGTCCCTACAACTGAGCTTTATCCTCAGTCCTCCTTTTACAGTTTTCTCCCTTCCCAACTTTTTGTTTGTGGTCATAGTCTTTTATTAGGTACTAGGGGATTGCACCTGGGACTTCACACCTGGGAGGCAAGTATTTCTATAGCCCACTCTGCTTTCGTTTTGATACAGGGTCTCATTAAGTAGCCAGACAAATCTTGAACTTTATATGCTCCTGTTTTAACTTCCTGAGTAGCTGGAATTACAGGCCTGTGTCAGCAGCTCCAGCTTTATCTTAAATTTTCATGTTCAGCTACACAAAGAGCTTTGTCTATTGTTTTGATATGTATCTTGTATCCCAATGAGTGGATATACCATACTTTCATATATCCCCTATTAATGGATAGCTGGCTATTTCGACCTTTTTGCTATGAACAACCAGCTTAGATTGAGTACAGCAAGCTTCATATGAATCATTTCCTTTAATCCTTAACACTTCATATAAAAGCTTTGACACATGTAAGTTCACATATGGTGGTGGTGGAGGAGGAGGATATATGTTCCAGAAATATTCTAAAAGTAAAATCTGTGGCTCTGAGGTATGAGTATATCTTTCTTTTCCTTTTTTTTTTTTTTTTTTTTTTGAAGAATAGGGGAGAGGGGAAGAAGGAGGGAGGGTGGGACTGGGAGGAGAGGAGGGAGGGGAACATGAGTATTTCATTCTAGCAGCTTAGTAGTTGTTCCAATTTATATCCCCATCAGTAACATAAGAATGTTCCTGATTTCTCTCACCATGTGCCAGCAAGTTTTGTTTTTGCTTTTTTACTTTTTACTAACCTGATATTTTTAAAAAAATGTATCATGGTCTGGCTTTAGTTTGTATTTCTCTTGTGAGGTTAAATAACCTTTGGTAAGCTAAGTTCCTTTCCTATAAAATAATTTGCTTTGTGTGTGTGTGACAGGTTCCCATGTAGTCCAGGCTGGCAGACTGGTCTCAAAATTGCTTTATAAATAAGGCTGATTGTGAACTTCTGATCCTCTTGCCTCTACTCCCCAAGTGCTGGAATTGCAGGCCAGCCATATGTGCTTGTAAAAGTTTATGTAGCTACATTTGTTAATATTTCTGATGTTTAGTTTTAACCCTGAGAGGGTTTTTTTTTTTTTTTTCATTTTTTGATGGTTTCTTCTACTGCTTTGATGGCTTTCCCCCCTTTAAACCTTCATTTCCTATACCATGGCCAAAGAGATTAAAACTGGCCATGGTATAGGAAGTGAAAGTTAATTCAACTTTATTGTTTTCTAGATGGCTCCCCAGCTTAACCAATACTTACTGATTATGTCGTCTATAAATCAGAGCTGCTACCTTTTTATTTTTATTTTTTTAACTTTTATTAATTACACTTTATTCATTTTGTATCCCCCCATAAGCCCCTCCCTCCTCCCCTCCCGGTCCCACTTTATTTTTATATTAATTACAGTTTATTAAGTTTGTATCCCAGCTGTAGCCCTCCCCCTCCTCCCCTTCCAATCCCACCCTCCCTCCTTCATTTCCTTCCTGCCCCTCTCCAAGACCACAGATAGGGGAGGACCTCCTCTCCTTCCATCTGACCTCAGCTTATCAAGTCTCATCAGAACCGGCTGCAATGACCTCCTCTGTGGCCCAAGGCTGTTCCCCCATCCAGTGGAGATGGACAAAGCTGCTGCTACCTTTTAATCATATACTCCTTCCCTCAGAACTGAGTTTTACAATGAGTCAGAGCATATTACTTAGTGTTGTCAAATCTGAATCATCCTAATAGATAAGTTTTCTACAAATGAAATTACAAAGCTTATTGGGTTTTTTTTTGTTTTTGTTTTTAAGATTTAGTTATTTATTATGCAGTGTTCTGTCTGCATGTACACCTGCATGCCAGAAGAGGGCACCAGATCACATTAAAGATGGTTATGAGCCACCATGTGGTTGCTGGGAATTGAACTCAGGACCTTTGGATGAACTCAGGACCTTTGGAAGAGCAGCCAGTGTTCTCTGAGCCATTTCTTGAGCCCCAAGCTTATTGTTTTCTATCAAAACATGTATAGCAAACTCCGAGAGTGCATTATCCAAATAGAAGTGTGTGTGACTTAGAGCAAAAGAAAGGAATTCAGAGCCCTGTGTGGTGGCTTATGCCTGTAGTCTTACTACTTGGGAGGCTGGTGCAGGAAAATTGCTGTGTGATTGAAAATAAATTTATTAGAGGGCCTGTCAAGACAAAAAGAAGTGTGTGTATGTGGAGGGGAGGGTGGCAAAAAGGACAGAAGGGAATGAAAAATAAATCAGAGAAAATATGTTAGATTAGAATTATTTCATTCAGTGCTTTTCAAAATATTCTCTCATTGAAATGTTTTTGTATAGTCAAAAGAATATTGGACCAGAAGGCAGGAAACCTGATGATATTATTTTTCTATTTGTTTGTTTCAGCCTGGTCTATTAATAATTAATTAAACACCACTACCGCCAATAATAATAGGAAACATCACCCAGTATAGTTGAAGCAGCACTGTTATCTAAGAGCCTATTAATCATTCAGTTTATGTAATTAATAAAAGTCTTGGTAATCTCTTGTGAGTTATACAAACATTGGATGTCGTTGCTCATAAAAATGTCAACAGATCACTCAGCTTATTGAACACCAAACTCAAGAACAAACCCCACACTGTCATGAGTCATGTACATGCTGTGAAGTAGTAGATAGTGGAAGCATTATCTGAGACAGCCTGGAGTAGCGCTCTTGGTCTGAATTCTGTCCTAATTCTGTTCGTTCGTTCTTTCTCTTTCTTTCTTTCTTTCTTTCTTTCTTTCTTTCTTTCTTTCTTTCTTTCTTTCTTTCTTTCTTTCCTCTCCTTTCTTTCTTTTTTTTTTTGACATGGTTTTAATTTATTTAGTCCTGCCTATCCTAGGACTTGCTGTATAGTCCAGGCTAACCTCAAAGTCAGAGAACTACCTGCCTGTGCTGACATTAAAGGTGTGAGCCACCATGCCCCAGCTTAGAGTTGAATGTCTCGGTGGAAGGGCTTGTGCGTGACTTCCACCGACATTTTAACATATGATGCTATTATATCCTATTTTGGTGAAAGTTAAGAAAGCCCGAGTAAGAATCAGAGGCCTGGCAGCCAATAAAACTAAGTAATGGGTTCACTGGTTACAGTCCCCTTTAAATGTATAGGAAAGTTAGCTTACGGTAATGCGTTTGAGCCTATTTTAAAAGTATGTTCTACAAAATGGAAACTAGACATTTTCTGAGTGTGTTAGGGTTTTCACTTTTTTGGGTTGGTTGGTTTCAGAGATAAGAGCTTCAGTATGATGCCCAGATAAGCTCCAAACTTACAAGCAGTTGTCTCCCCTCAGTCTTGCAAGTGTCACAAGTACGCATCACCATGCCTGGCTCAATTTAGAATTTGGGGGGAATGGTTTCTGGACATTGAGCCTTGAATTTTATTGTTAAGTTTTTGTTTGTTTTTCTTTTTTGGAGGCATAGTCTTCCGTCACTCTAGGCTGGTCTCAAGTCTTCTATTTACCAAGGATGACTTTGAACTTTAATCTTCTTGCTTCTTAAATGTTGGGCTTATAGGCATGTGTCTCCATAGTAGGTTTTATGCACTGCTGCAAATTGAAGCCAGTGTTTTGTGCATGCTAGGCACGTCCTCTACCAACAGAGCCTCGGACCATGTATTGTTATGTCACCTTTTAGGAGGTTCGCTAAATAAGAATATTGATTGCAGTGAGATTAGGAAATAAAAACAGAAATGTTACATTTAACAGACAGATTTCTGCCAGCTACCACTGTCTGGTAGACATTCAAGAACCCGAGGAGTCCAAAAATGCCTACATCTCTCAGGAAACCTCTGTAATTTGACATACAAGTGGAAGAATGGTGTCACATGTCCAAAAGAATACTTAATGATTTTAAATTTTCAAAGAAAACTCCAAGGACCTCTTAGCAAGTATAATTCAGTCAGTTCCAAGACATCTTGCGTGCCTTGGTTTCAGCAGGAAAAAAAAAAAAAATAGCAGAACCTTCTTCCCCATACTTCTACACAGCACTAAATAAATCATTAGTGACATCAGTGTAAGTGATTCATCAGGTTTTCTACGAGAAAAAAAAAGGAAATTTTTAGTTTTTTCAAGAGACTGTTTTTTCGTGTGGGTGTGGGTATGTCCATGTGGACGGGGGGTGGTGAAGAGGCCAGAAAAGGAAATGAGATCCTCTGGAGCTAGGGTTACAGGTAGTGTGAGTCATCTGATGTGGCTTGGGCTTTGGAAACTAAACTTGGGTCCTCTAAAAGAGCAGGAAGTACTCTTTAACAACTGAGCCATTTCTCCAGACCCAGGTTCCGTTACTGGCACCCACATATACCACCCATAAATCCAGATCCAGGGGACCCTGACACACTTTTCTGACCTCTGCAGCCACCCTCATACAGGTGATGCCTGTGTGTGCCCTTGGGCGTGCTCATGTGTGCACATACACACACAAACAGGTTCAATTCCCAGCACCCATGGCAGCTCACAACTGTAGCCTTGGCTGGCCTAGAACTCACAAGAGATCTACCTGCTCCTGCCTTCTGCCTTCTGCCTTCTGAGTGCTGAATTGAAGTCATATGCCACCATACTGAGCTTTAAATTCTTATTTATTTTCTGTTTCTCTCTCTCTCTCTCTCTCTCTCTCTCTCTCTCTCTCTGTGTGTGTGTGTGTGTGTGTGTGTGTGTGTGTGTGTTGCCGTGAGAGTGTGTAAGTCAGGACAGCCTGACTTGGTTCTCCCCTCCCATCCTGTGGGACTTGTGAATGGAATGTGGGTTATCAGGCCTAGCCTGGCACCCAGCATCTTCACCCACTGAACCATCTTGCTGTTCCCTAAATATATGCTTTTGTAGAGTGACTATAGATTACTGAAAATCAGTATCATGCAGTTTCTTTTTCTCATTTCCAGATTGCCAAAATGTTTTGGAGTTTTTAACTGAATCTAAGAAAGTCCAAAATAGATTTGAGACTGTAAATACAGAAGCTGCACAAGGGGGATTCAGTGCCAATGCATCAACAAAAAAGACAACCAGAGTTAGTGGAAGGAAATCTTCCAGTTTTTGTGTTTCCCACGGAGCTAATCTTTTACGCAGATGATCAGTCAACACATAAGCAAGTGTTGACGCTGTACAACCCCTATGAGTTTGCCTTAAAGTTCAAAGGTGAGTCTCCTAGCTTATGCGTTTTTAGCTAGAGCCTGAGGATTTGTTTGCTTGTGGAAATTAATTGATCTGATACACTCATGGACGTTGTGACTTTTTCTTTCAGTTTTGTGCACGACTCCGAATAAGTATGTTGTTGTTGATGCCACAGGCGCAGTAAAGCCGCAGTCCTGTATGGATATGTAAGTCACAGTCGCACCCTGGCGACACATTCTCAGTGTGTGGATGTGGATGTTTTCACTTTAAAGGGGTCCCAAGGTATCCCTAAGCAGATGTTTCTACTCCTTTTGGCCGAGCGTTTATCAAAATTTAACAAGTTTCTGAAATATTCTATGTAGGACAATCAAATACTTAAACAACTTGGGCCAGCACTTTCTTTAATAATTCCTCATTGTTTTAGTCCAGGCAGTCATGCTTATGGTCAAGCTCTGGCTTATTCCTTTAAATTTCTCCCGCAATAACAGAATTTAGCTTTCTTGGAGACATCCTGCTATTATAGTGACATTTGTGAAATGAATAATACTACATTCTCGAACAGTAACAGTATGAGATCATCTGAAATAATTTAGCTAATAAGCCTGGAATTGAATCTACACATAGGAAGCAAATGTGTGTAAAAGGTTATCTGAGTGCTTCCAGATCATTTCATTTTAGAGTGTGAGACAGCTGATGGTTTGTTCAAGCTGTTCGTGTTTAATTTGTACTTTAGAAATAGTGGTGACCAGATGAATCCACTGGTCAGGCCTTAAGTTAAGCTACCAAGTCAGCTGTATTTGTTAAAAGTCTTCTATGAGAAGCAGAGCTCAGTTCTCCTCAGTGATTTCATCAGTGCAAAGCCTTAGACCAAAGGTTCTCAGCCTATGGGTTGCAACCCCTTTGGCACCCCCTCTACCTTAAAATATTTAAATTACGATGTATAACAGTAGCAAATAACAATTATGAAGTAGCAACAAAAATAATTTATGGTTGGGGGTCACCACAACATGAGAAACTGTATTCAAGGCTCACGGCATTAGGAAGGTTGAGAAACACTGCCATAGAGGATATGATTTTTTTAAGTTTTCTTTTATTATTATTATTATTATTATTATTAATTACACTTTCATTTTGTACCCCCCCATAAGCCCCTCCCTCCTCCCCTCCCGATCCCACCCTTCCTCCCCTTTCTGCATGCATGCCCCTCCCCAAGTCCACTGATAGGGGAGGTTCTACTCTCCTTTCTGATCTTAGTCTATCAGTTCTAGTCAAAAGTGGCTGCATTGTCCTCTACCTTGGCCTGGTAAGGCTGCTCCCCCCTCAGGGGGACGTGATCAAAGAGCAGGCCAATCAGATTATGTCAAAGGCAGTCCCTCTTCCCATTACTATGTAACCCACTTGGACACTGAACTGCCATGGGCTACATCTGTGCAGGGGTTCTAGGTTATCTCCATGAATAGTCTTTGGTTGGAGTATGAGTCTCTGGGAAGTTCCCTGTGTTCAAATTTTCTTGTTCTGTTGTTCTCCTTGTGGAGTTCCTGTCCTCTCCAGCTCTTGCTATTTCCCACTTCTTTTAAGAACAGGTTTTTGCGCATTTCTTTGGGTTGTCATTCAGTATACAATAAGCAAAGAGTATTCCAAAGAAATGTAGTCTTACTAAATATAAATGCATTACCCTTGACCTAATTACTTTGCATTCTCTAGGAAGAACCAGGCATAATAAAAGGAAGATTTCTTCAATAACAAATAGGAATTTATTATATGTTTGTAAGGAAGAAACTATTTTATGTGCTCCAGTTGAGGAAAGAAATCTTTAACAGATGTACAAAAAAAAAAATCACTGCTAAAGGCAATTTTCTTTATCATTCTTTAACTCAAGACTTGGATTCTGCGCTGAGGCCATAACTCAGTAATAGACTGTATGCTTGTCTAGCATGCTGTAGGCCTCAACCACACACATGTAGAAGATTGTTATTCTGTATTTCAGACTGTGTAGCTTTAATCTGCTCTTTCATAATTGCTCATTTTCTTCTTTAGGGTATATGATGGTTTTTCTTCTCAGTGTGATTAGCAAATTTTGGGTATTTAGTTATAGTCAGCAAGATTAGTTTTGCCATCTTGAAACATTTTGATGCTTTTTGTTTGATAAGCCCCCGAAACCTAAACAGATTTTGTTGTTGTTGTTGTTGTTGTTATTATTATTATTATTATTATTATTATTATTATTATTTTGCTGTTTTCAGTGTGATTCGTCATAGAGATGTTCGATCCTGTCACTATGGTGTAATAGACAAATTCCGCCTCCAAGTTTCCGAGCAAAGCCAGAGGAAGGCTTTAGGAAGGAAAGACGTTATTGCTACTCTTCTCCCATCTGCAAAAGAACAACAAAAGGAAGAAGAGGAGAAAAGAATAAAGGAACATTTAACCGAAAGTGTATTTTTTGAGCAGTCATGTCAACCAGGTAGTCTTGTTTTTAAAGCCCCTTAAAGCTTTATACATTTTCAAGTTTAATCATGGAGCTACAGTGAAATGCTCTCAAGATAAGCACATTAAATCTAGTTAGCAAAGTGGAGCTTAGAGCACCAGGTCTCTGAAATAGAGCAAGAGACTGGCCTTTGGCCTTCAAGAAAGAAAGGAGTACCCATTATATTATGTAGGAGGAGCAGACAATTGCCATACTAGGCTTTGAAATGTGTGAGATGCCGTATATCATAGATGCCGTGTATATATATATATATATATATATATATATATATATATATATATATATGCAGGTACCATACTTTAATACCAGTACAAATTTAGCAATTATGTACTATTGTTTCCATGACTTTTGTATATCCTTTCGCATTTAATTAGTTTGAAGGAGGAGAGAGACTCATTTTGGCAGTAGGCCAAGCTTACTGTGCTGTTCATATTATTTTGAAAAAAAAATCTCATTAAAGTTGAAGTTAATTAAACTAAGTAGATTATAATATCCCCTGTGGGCTATTAATTGAATCCCTCTCCATTCCTCATTTCCTTCCAGCTTAGATACTCAGAATCGTTACGATATATACTTTTGATAATGATACTCTCCTCGTATCCAACTTCCAGACACCATTCCCCCTTCCTCCCTACTTCTAATTATTGTCCTCCAATCCTATTAGAAGTGTAGAGGGATAAATTTTTTTCCATAGGAAAACAAAGGGCTTTTCAGAGCATGATTCATGAGTGTGATATCAGCTGTCTGTGAAACTGAAATGTGCAACTTAGGAGTGGTGGCACACGCCAGTTATCCCAGCATGCTGGAGGCTGAAGCAGGAGGACTGCCATGAGTGCTACACAGTGAGACGCCTATCAAAATGGGAAAAAAAAGGGCTGGGAAAAGGGGGTTAGCAATAGAGCATGAGCGTAGCTTGAGCAAGACCCTAGGTTCCATCCCCAATACAAAGAAGAAAACGTTTTGTAAAGGTAGTACATGTATGTAAAATTAAAAATAAATTAAACTGAAAAGTAAAACAAAGACAAAAGGGAAAGAAACTGAAGCTCATATTTGCGATATTTTACAAATGTTCTTTTCATATCAACTCATATATCCATATCATTGTGCTCATCTTCAAATGTTTATTTTAAGAAGCCAGGAAGTGCTGTCTCTTTGATGTGGCCCTGAAGTTTTTCCAGTCTGCACAGGGAGTGCCTATAATCTCTGTTTAATATCAGGACTGAGGACTAGGTACTAGCTTCCTAGCAGTAATTATTTACTAACAGGTACATCTTTGATCTTTGAAAACCAGGTAGTCTTGTTTTTAAAGCCCCTTAAAGCTTTATACATTTTCAAGTTTAATCATGGAGCAAGGGTGAACTACTCTCAAGATAAGCACATTAAATCTAGTTTGGCTGGTGTGGTGCCCCACTCAGGCTTTGAGAGGTGGTGGATTGGGCATTTAGAGGGATTCTTGGGTACATTGTGTTGGACGCCAGCTTGGCTTAAATGAGAACCTGTTTCAAAATTCAAAGAAAAAAATAAAAACAAAAAAAAGGAAAATTTCTGAAATGACATCTTGTCAGATCAATATGTTGAAGGTGATTTACTTAATGAAATAAAATATTCCCACTTCAACAGGCCTCCAAAACATGAAAAGCCATTGAATATATTTTTCTTGACATTTAATTAATAGTTAAAAATAAAATCATTGGAGTTCATTTTTTTCATTTAACACACTGATATGTTTTTCAATTTATTACTCTTTTACATGTAGTGATGTTTTGCCTGCATGTGTGTCTGTATACCACATGTATGCCTGGTGCCTATGGAGGCTAGAAGAGGACATCAGATCCTCTGGGACTGGTGTTACAGATAATTGTGAGCTGCCACATGGGTGCTGGGAACTGAAACCCTGTCCTCTGAAAGAACAGCTAGCAGTGCTCTTAACTGATGAGACACCTCTCTATCCCCTAACTTTGTTCTTTTTTTTTTCTTCGTTGGAAATCATGTGAAATTCATTCTAAAAGGCTAAATACAACACACATACAGAGACAGAGAGATACAGAGAAAGACACAAAGACAGAGAGACTGACTAAGGAGATGGTTCAGTGGGTTAAGCACTTGTCATACATGTGTCAGGACCTAAGTTTGAATCCTCCAAGCCCATGTAGCCAGGTACAATGATTTTATGTCCAGAAATCTTAGTGTTCCTATAGTGAGCTGAGAGACAGAAAGAAAGGTGTTCATAAAGGCATGCAGGCTAATCAGCCTGGAGTATACAGTGGTCTCAAACAAGATGAAAGGCAAAGATTGAGACCTGGGGTTGTCCTCTGACTTCCACGCACACTAGGTCCCTGCATTCACACAAATGTGTGCATGTACACACATACACCAAAGCTAAGTAATTCTAATAGCTGTGTGTGTGTGTGTGTGTGTGTGTGTGTGTGTGTGTGTGTGTGTGTGTATTTATGTCTGTGTCTGGATGGCTGGATGTTTGGAACAGGGTCTAACTCTGTAGTTCAACCTTGCCTCTGCCTCCCAAGAGTAGGGGTTACAGGTATGAGCTACTGTACCTAGATTCGTATTTTAATTACCTAATTGATTACTTATGTTTATTTACTTTTGTTTTTGAGACAAGGCCTCACAACATAGCTCTAGTTGTCTTGGAATTAACTCACTATGCAGACAGGGCTGGCCTCAAAGTTGTTAATCATCCTCCTCTCCCTCCTGGGTGCTGATCTACATGCATTTTTGTCAGTGCTCTCAACCTTAGTTTTAGAATGATCATTAGTGTCCAAAGTATAGAGAGATATCTAATTGTAATATTGTTACAGGTAGATGAATTGTAGAGACATTGGCAAGATACATGATGGTCTCTGTTTATGTCAGGATGTTCATTGAGGGCAGATACTTTTAAATCTTGGCCACCATTATATGCACAGAATAGTTACATTGAAAATACGTAATTGGTCTAGTTGGTAGGGAGGTACCCCACTCTAGCTCATCATGTGCCAGTAAATGGAATAAAAATAACGTTTTGTGGGGTTATAGGGATCAAATCCATGACATTTTACTGAACTAAAATGTTAAATAAATTGAGATTGTTTTCGTGCTTTAAAAAATTCCTGAGACATTTTTAAATGTCATTATTTTCTTCGTGCTACTAATGTAAAGATTTCAACATAAGCATATTACTATAAGTAAAACAGTGCAGCATGACTCACTGTTAGCTGGAAAGTGGTTGATGGGTACATCATGAAACGTTTGGATTTTAAATTTTATTGAGAGCTACATGTAGGAGTACACACCTATAATCCTAGCCCAGGAGGATGTTAAGTTTAAGATAAGCCTTGACTACATAGGGCTACACTGTGCTAAAAACATAGAAGTAAGCAAAATAAGAAATTCTGTAAGTTTAATGTATAAAAAACATAAGCAGGCCAGGCATGGAGACATGTGCTTATGTCTTGGAAGGCATGCATAGCAGAAATACTACAAGCCCACACCTAGCCCGAGCTCCAGAGAGTTACATGCCAGCTAGGGGAAACAAAGCAATGCCCTATCATTTTTATATATTTTTTAAAAAATTACATTTTTTTAACTGGAAGGGGGTTGATCTCATGTGCTGAGATGTGTGTGGAGGTCAGGGGACAACCTGTGGCAATAGCCTTGCTCCTTCTACCATGGAAATCCTAGGGATGCAACTCAGGTGATCAGGCGAGAACAGCAAGAACCTGTTCTACTCACCCAGCCATCTTGCTGACAGTCATCCTCTGTTATATAGGGAACTCAAGCCACATGAGAACCTGCCCCCAAACCACACAGCAGTAACAAACTTAAAAAGAAAAAATAACCACCTATGGTTTCATACACCTAACAAGTTGCCTAATATTATGTATTGCCTGCATATAAAAATAGTTTTAATCTTTTTATGTAACAGAAATAAACTGTAAAATTAAGATAAATACGTAAAATATACTTTCATAAAATACTAGCCTGGGCTATTAAAGACATTTTTATAAGACTGAATATTGGTAGATTTGTCTTAATTACCAATATCAATAATAAACTGCAGAGGCTTTGTCATACCCTTTTTTGTCTGAGCCTTCTGGCTTTAGAAAATTATGTTCTTTATTATTGTATGTAATAATAAAAAAAACCCTGAAAATGACACAAAAGACCACCAGTTGGGAATTGATTAGATTATGACTACTAATGGGATGGGACATCTGTCATGCAGGCATTTACAAGGATCTGTTAGGATGAAGTTTCTATGCTGAGTGGGAAAAGCTTCAAATAGTGGGCTGGAGAGATGGCTTAGTGGTTAAGAGTGCTTCCTGCTCTTACAGAGAATCCCAGTTGGATGCCCAGCCCCCACATGGTGGCTCACAACTGTCTCTAGCTCCAGTTTCAGGAGATCTGACACCCTCTTCGGGCCTCCATGGCACCAGATACACATGTGGTGCACAGACGTACATCCAAACCAGACATTCAAATACATAAAATAACAATGATAATCTTTGAAAACGCTGAAAGTACTTTAGTAAATGGGAGCAGCAGTTGGATAACATTCGATTTACGGAAAATTTACCTGCATTTTTCTCTTTGCATGTGTAAGATGTGGAGGGAGTTCTTTTGTGGGCATGCGAGTGTGTATGTGACACAGCATGTGTAGAGGTCAGTCTAAGTTTCACTCTACCTTGTTCAAGGCTGTATATCTTGGTCATGGCTTTGTTCATCAGGTCTCCCCTTCCCACCTTGCTGTTGGAATTACAGATAAATTTTCCGTGTTCAGCTCAGTGTAAGGTTCTGGGGATTCCTAGTCTACGTTCTCATACTTGATACAGCAAGCACCTTTTCCATGGAGCCGTCTTTCCAGCCCCTATTTTACATGTTTATGTGGACATTTATGAAATCTGAAAATTGTCAATAGTGCTCTCTGTAGGAAGAGATGATAGAGGACATTTGTTTTCTTCTAGTCTTTGCTATTTTATTTCTTTGAGACAGAGTTTGACTCTGTAAACCCAAGTTACTCCTGATTTTCCCTCTCCTTTATCTCCCCAGTACAATTACAGCTGTGTACCACTACCTTCAAACTCACATAGCCTGGCCTTGAACTATAAGCAATCTTTCTGCCTGTTTCCCAATTGCTTGGATTACAAGTGTGTGCCACCAACACCCAGCTCTTTGGAATTATCTTTATTTTAATTTGCAGTGAATGGTGTACTTGTCATATTTCCCTTAAAATCAGTCTTGCAACAAATATAAATACAAAGTTATTTTCCCTTTAAACTAAAACAAGATGGATTTTAACATTATTCATGCTCTTGTTTCATCCCAAGCAGTCATTACTAGGAAATTCAACTTTGTTTTACTTATTTGGCTTTGGTGAAGTTCAATTAAATTTCACAACAGCTAAGGTATTAATAATTTAGAAAAGTTCCACTTAATAATGGAATGAACAGCATTATTTCATTAATAAAACACAAATTGTGTTGCTCTTGGCTATTCCTTTTAATGAAAGGAAGATTAGTGGGGAAAGGTGCATAGTAGAAAAACACTGCTACTGAGTGATTAGCCAAGGTTCCCTAAGTAACAGAGCTCTCTCTCTCTGTGTGTAATCTGTTATATATTATAGTGTATTTTTATTTATATATAATATGATAGGATATATATGAATTAATTAGGGTGGCTTGCTGTGGTCTGAATAGTCCAACAATCACTAGTGTAAAGGTCAAGGATCCAGTAGTTTTTCATTCTATGAAGCAGGATGAGTCAGCTATTGCAGTCCAGTGCTGGAGTCCCAGGGATGTTCTAGAGACTTGCCAGTTTACGGTCCAATTTGGAGTTTTGAACAAGTAGATTTTGATGGCAGCAAAGGAGTGGGTCAGGATACATGAGCTTGCTAATGATAGTGAGGACAAGCAGACAGAAAGTACAAGCCTCCTTCTTCCATGTCCTTTTATGTGGGCTGCCACTAAAAAGTATGGCCCAGATGTAGGGTGGGTCTTCTGACCTCAATGGTCTGGAATTTAAGGTGGGGCTCCCACCTCAAATAATGCACTCAAGAAAATTAACCCACAGTGTGCCTAGCTGCTTGGGTTTTGGTTATTTCCAGGTGTAGTCAAATTGACAACCAAGATTAGCCATTGCACTGGATTTCTTTAAAAGATGGAGATAGACCTTAGATACATACCCAGCACTGTGACACAAAAGGCTTGACAACACGTTGTTTCGTGTGTATTTGGTATTGGTGAGTTTTCATGGGTGCTGGGACCAAATTCAGGTCCTCATGCTTGTGCAGCATGCACATTCCCCAGTGAGCCATCTCTAGCATTATATTTATTTTGAGACTGGGCCTCACTAAATTGTCTAAGCTGGCTTCATAATTTCAATCCTCCCGCCTCAACTTCTGAAGTAGATGGGATCACAGTCTTGTGCCACCATTTCCTCTGGAATAGATGGGATTACACATGTGAACTACCGTGTTTTGTCTTTTTTTTTTTTTTAAATAGTCATGATGATACTGAGTCTGCTGCCTATCACAGGCTGGCCTTGAACTTGTGATCCTCTGACCTCAGCCTTCTGAGTTCTGGGTTGATAGGCTTTATACCACTACATCAACTTTTCAACTAATTTTTGTGTGTATGAAATAGAATTGGTTTGGTTGTTGTTGTTTGAGATAGGGCCTTACTAGGCAGTCTTGGCTGTCCTGAAACTTGCTATGTAGACCACTCTGGCCTCAAACTCACAGAGATCTACCTGCCTCTACCTCCCATGTGCTAGAACTAGAAGTGAGTGCCACCATGGACACCACTGATACAGTGTTGTTAAATATAGGTCCTGTGTAATAGAGTGTGTCTTTAGACATATAAATCTCAGATGACTGATATTTGTGTGAACTGAATTGCAACCGCATTTCACTCTTCTCCCAAGTCCTAGAAAGCCACAATTCTCTCTGATTCAATGAATTTGACCATTTTAAATCCCCGATATGTCCCAATTGTTCCATTATAAACTGAGCATGTTATCTGTGGAGAAAGCATTGGATGTACAGTCCACTTCAGGATGTTGGTGTTTTCCTTTTGTGATCACTGTGCCACCTGAGTGGGGTAGCTCCCTGCTGAAGTCCGCTATCCCAACTATCATACCATGTCAGTAATCCTGAAAACAATCAAAATTCCCAATGTGGGATGTAGTTTTGGTAAGGTCTGGTGTGAATACCTGCAGTGCAATTCACACCAGTGTCAAGTTGAGCCATTTTCAGTCAGGACTTGCTGACATGACCAGGTAATCCTCTGGTATACAGGAAGAAGATGTTGAGTGTTCATTCATTTCTAGCACACTCTTTTAGAACTATCTGGAGGCTTTCTGCTTTGTGTTTGTACTAGTGAGGTAGCTGTGCATGCGATTGAAAACCATGCTGGGTGTGGTGGTACATACTTGTAATCCCAACACTGGGGAGGCAGAGGCAGGTGGATTTCTGTGTATTTGAGGCCAGCCTGGTCTACATAGAGAGTTCCAGGACAGCCAGGGATACACAGAGAGACCAAACAGAGAAAGGAAATCATACAGGTATTTATGATACACACCCGAAAGACTATTTACTACTGTAGATTACAGCCACAGGGTTGGGGATTTGGTAGTCACTGTTCTTTCACTAGTGCCCATTGCCATTTGAGGAAGCCAGTGGATAAGGAGGGAGGGTTAAATTACAGATTTCCAGAGACAAGCAAAATGTAAGCCTCCATGGGATTAGAGCGATGGTGAAGATATAGCCAAAACACCCATGCAAAACACTGGTGCCTGGTGGCTACCACTTGTGAAAGAATTTTCGTCTTACACATTGGTTTTAGAAGCAAGCTCAGGGATTTTCACCTTTTTTTTCCAAACAGAAAACAGAGCGGTCTCTTCAGGACCTAGTTTGCTAACTGTCTTCCTGGGAGTGGTATGTATTGCTGCCCTCATGCTGCCTACCCTGGGGGATATGGAATCGCTGGTGCCTCTCTACCTCCACTTAAGTGTGAATCAAAAATTAGTGGCTGCTTATATCTTAGGTAAGGGCTTTAAAGACGCTTTGGGACTTATGCGTAGGGATTGACTAGTTTCCAATGGTATAAAATATGTATAAAATACAGTTATGCCTAGAAATGTAATCCGGAAGTGGCGGGAGGAGGATTAGAAGTTTGAGGTTATCTGGCTACAGAGTGAATCTGAAAACAGTTTGCACTATAGGAAATACTGATACTGTCTTGCAACAAAAAAAGGCTTTTACTAATGTTTTCTTCCACCTCTACTTTGATGCCAATTCTTTCTTGTTTTTGTGTTCAGTGTTTCCTGAAGTGCTCTTCTGTTCTGCTTTTTTTTTTTTTTTTTTTTTTTTTTTTGCCAAGCTTTCATGTAGCCCAGGATTTCCTTGAACTCTGTATAGCAGAGAATTCCCTTGACCTCCTGACCTTACTTTACTTACCTCCTCAGTACTGGTATAACAACCATATACCACCACAGTAGGCTTTCCTTTTTTAACTTGTATTTGTTTGTATATATAATGTATGTATGGCTTATTTTTTAAATTTATTCTGTCACTCTAGTCCATGCTATTCTGGAGCTTACTATATATCCCAGTCTATCCTCAAATTCACAGGGGTCCTCCTGTTACGGCCTCCCTGATAGTGGAATTACAGGCATGTACTATCATGCTTGGCTGTTTTTTTTTTTAATATAAATGTATATTCTTTAAAATATAAATGTATATTTTTTTTCTTTATTTTATTTTTCATTTTTTTTGTTTTTTTTAAACTTTTATTAATTACACTTTATTCATTTTTGGCTGTTTTTTAATTTCTAAATTGCCCATTTCTATTCTTTCCTTGAGCTTCTACTCTCCCTGTCTCTTCCCCTTTGACCTTACCCCTCAAGCCACCCATCATACTGTCATGATGCTGATTTCCCTTCTGTTTCAGTTTCACGATGTCTCCCTACTCTAAAGATACCCATTTGCTCCCCAAACTCCATGGAATAAAGTGTAACTCCCTAGCGTGGCATTTACAATAGTGCTGTCTTACAGACCTCACTGAGCTGATTTCTAGCTATTCTGCTTTGTAAATCCTTGATGAGAGCCTGCTGAACTACTCATTGATTCTAGAAAGTCTCATCTGGAATTCTGGGCCTCCTTCTAGAGTCTTGATCATGCCATGCCCTTTCTTGAAATATTTGCTTTTGCTCAGCATCTTTCCTTTCTGTCTACTGAGATTTACCTCAGCTTCAGTCCTAAGCAATCATCTTCCATCACAGTGCTCTTTTTTTTTTTTAAATTACTCCCCAACATTCATTAAGACTGAGCATACAAGCCAGTGTGGTGTCACACATCTTTAATCCCAGCACTTGGGAGGCAGAATCAGGTAGATCTCTGTGAGTTTGAGACCAGCCTGGTCTGCATAGTGAGAGCCAGGGCTATGTAAAGAGATCTTGTCTCAAAACAAACAAACAACAAACAGACAAAATAAAAAAAGAGGATGGAGCATGTTCTTATATTATTGAACAGTTACTGTTTTATATGTGGAATCTTTCAAGGAAAGTGGGAACACTATACTGCTCAGTTTTTGTGGCCTTAGGGCCCTGATAAAAAGAGGCTGTTGAAGTCTCTTTAGTTTTACAGACACTTTTAAATGACATGCCTGCTGTTATTACAGCTGATGTGACTGGATAAAGTAGGTATGTTTGATGGTGAAATTAACTATGACCAGACATAAGTGATTTCATTAAATCTATCCAGAGACTGCCTATGGTTAAAAATTAGATTTCTTCTGTATAATATCAACTAAATTCAAATTGACTTTGAGTTCTTGGTAGAGTGCCTGCCTGTGGCGCTATATTTTATTTGCTTGCTGAGCTCCAAGCAATTGTTTATTGAATGATAGATTTTATAAAGTGCATTTCTCTAACTGTCCTCCATTTTTTTTCCTTTCAGGTCTTATCACAATGGCTATACTTAGAACATGAGCAAGGATTAAATCTAACTTCTGAAGTAAATTTATCTTAAATATGAATGTGGACTGCCTTTTATCTCTATTTCACTCCATTAACACACCACAAATTATTGAATGATTTCAAATATCTGCAAATATATAATATATTTTCAATTGGTCTATAATTTTATTTGAAGGACTTTAGCACTTTATGTTACAGACAACAAAGATACTTCTGAGTGATACCTAGAAAATTATTTGAAGACATTCTTTTAAAATCTATACCTATTGTGCAAATGACTTTAATTAAATGTTATTTTTCATCTTTTTTTTCTAACTCACTTGGATAAGGTCCTTCAAAGTTTAAGACCTTACATGAGCAACTGACCAGCTTGAAATTGAAATGACATTGATTGCCTAGACCCAAGTATCAACATTAATATGTAAATCATAGATTTCCTTCTCTCTTGCAAGGAGTTGTTGCAGTGTTTCTAAAGTCAGTGTGTGAGGGGGTTGAGATAACATAAGGTCCTTACTGAGGGATCATGCTTAACCTATACCCTTCACAGAGGACAAGATATATTTAAATGACTGTGGGAACTACAGACCAGGTAGTGGTTCCTACACCAGGCCCCTCACAGAAGTAGACTGGCTTCTCTGTTTGGCCTGAGAGTTCTAAAGGAAGGTAGGTGGTTTTTTTTGTTTTTTGTTTTTTTTTTTTTTTAATTAATTGGTTCGTCCTGGCTTTACCTCCTGTTAATCCTTAATGTCATTAAGGGAATAATCACTTGTTGGTTTTCTCCCAAGTCCCTGGCTTGCCTGAGTGTGATTTGCCCTGATTAGGAATGTCAGAGGACTGTTTTTGAGGACATTATTTTTTTTTTTTCACCTTCAAACTCTAAGCCAAGTAGAGAAAGCTCTAGATACCTATGTCTATTTTGTATCAGTCACTGGGACAATTTTTAAGTTTTTATTTATTAAAACAAATTTACCAAAAAGGCCCCCTAAGCACAACTACTTCCATTTCTTGATAGCGTTTTCTGGTGTCTAACATCTGTGTGTTTTAACAGTTGTGTTATCACAGCAACTGATCTTTTACATCTTAGGATTTTTATCTGAAAGCACAATGCATCGAGTCTCTTGAAAATCTATTTCTCTTTCAGCTCTTTTTATGGAATAAACTTTACGCACTGCTAATGTAGCATTCTCGAGGACTATATGTAAACACAAATGTATGCCTGAAGTTGATTTTTTTTTTTTTGCAGGAAACAGTACTCTGCTTCTAGAAGCTTTTTGTCTAGTATTTCATAGGAAATCATTGTTTAACCATTTGTGGAGCATAAATCATTCAGTGGATCATGTCTGTACATTGTATAATGACTGAAAAGCACATAAATGTAATCGACTTTGAACTCATAAAAAAAAAGAAAACATGTTTTTGAGGCTCTCTCTGTTCATTTCTTGAGGTGTGTGTGTGTACCTCTGAGGAACATCAAAGTATTATCTGTCTTTTTTCTTCAAGTTGGCTTATATTCCTATGAGTTAAATATGGAAAATAATAACTGTGAAATAGCTGGTGTTGTAGCTCAGTGGTAGAGTTTAAAATGTTTAAGGCCCTGGGTTTAATTACCGGTACCACACAAAAAGAAAAAAAAAACTGAAATAAATGAGTTAGAATTATCTTGAGTTTGATGACATTCCAAGACAGTTGATTTTCTTTTAAAAGAATGTTATGTGTTTCAGTTTTATATGTATCAGCTGAATGTATACATACATACATATATATATATACACACACACATACATACATACACATGTGTGCTTGATACTCAGATATTCCTAAGAGTGTACCATATTCCCCTGGAATTGGAGTTACAGATGGTTGTGAGCTGCTATGTGGGTGCTGGGAATTGAACCTGTGTCCTCTGAAAGAGCAGCCATTTTATTTTTATTTTTAATGTGTGTGTGTGTGTAAGAGAGAGAGAAGCAGACAGACAAAAGACAGAAATGCATGAGTATGGGTACCCTTAGAAGAGAAGGTTGGGTCTTCTAGAGCTGGAGTTATAGGGAGTTGTGAGCCACTCAATACAAATGCTGGAAGCTGAACTCTGTTCCCTTGGAAGAGCAGTAGTATTCTTAACCCCTGAGCCATCTTTCCAGCCCCTTATGCTTCTTTGTTTTCTTTGCTTGTTTTTAAGACATGCCCTCACTCTACCACATACTGTCCTCAAACAGCAATCTTCCTGCCTCAGTCTCCTAAATTCTGGGATTAGGTGTGAACTATTATACCCTTCGTTCATTTTTACCTCACTTGTTTTTCCCTCCCTCTCTTCCTTACCCTTTTCCTTTGCCCCTTTTTCAGATGGAGCCCCCTTGTACAGTTCAGGCTGGCCTTGAAAGGGTATGTAGCTGAAGATGCCCTAAACTGATTGCCCTGCCTCCTACCTCCCAAGTGCTGGGGTTATAAACGGGTATTCCAAATCTGGGCATGGTAGCACACTCCTTTAATCCCAGCACTCAGGAGGTAGAAGCAGGCAGATTTCTGTGAGTTCGAGGCCAGCCTGGTCTACAAAGAGACTTCCAGGACAGCAAAGGCTACACAGAGAAACCCTCTCTCAGAAAGAAATAAAAATTAAAAAAAAAATAAACCCATACTCCTACACCTGGTTTAATTCTTTTTTAATATATATATATTAAGATTTATTTACTTACTATGTGTTCTAGCTACATGTATGCTTGCACACCAGAAGAGGGCACCAAATCTCATAAATGTTTATGAGTCACTATATGGTTGCTGGAACTTGAACTCAGGAAGCAAACATTGCTCTTAACCTGTGAGTCATCTCTCCAGCCCCTGGTTTGATTCATTTTTAACCTTTTATATAGCTAGGCATAATACTGTGTGTGTATAACCCTAGCAATTGCAAGTCTGAGTCCAGAATATCAGAAGTTCCAGGATAGCCTGAGCTACATGAGATCTGGGTTCAGAATGAACAAGGAAACACATTAGACACCTTTACAAGGTATACAGGGAAAATAGCACACCTCGCTGTCCTTGTCCATAATCCTCCCCAAATGATTCCTTTCAGTAGTTTGAATGTACTTCAGAGGCTAGCAAGATGGCTCAGGGGTTAGGATCACTACAGCTTTCCCAAACGTGGCAGCTCGCAACCTGTAGCTCTAGTTCCAAGAAATCCAGTGTCCTCTCTTGGGCTCTGTGTATACCATATTCATGTGGTGCACAGACAGACCTGCAGACAAAAAAATTCCTACACAAAAAAAGTACTTTACAAATAAAAATACACTTTTAGTGTTCTTTTGCATAAAATTAGGAATTGTGAGTGTTCAGAGGACTGAGAGTTTGAGATAGTCCTGTTTGGGGGAAATCTGCTTACTATACAGAGAAGAGAAGGGCCAGGCTGAGCACCACAAGGTAATGTGATGCGTTACAAGTGATGCATGGTGTATTCCAGTTAACTGAAAAAATCCTCACTAGGAGTGACTTAAAAGAGGTGAATATGGGCTAGAAAAAGGCCCAACTAGATAAGGGGCCATACGTATTACAAAGTTCAATGAAGAAGCAAAGCTGTCACTGGGAAAACAAGTATGATTCATCCTGAAAGGAGCTACCAAACAGGAAACTTGCAACAAGAGACAGGGCAATGGTTGTAATTATCTGACGATGCAGGTGTGTCTGCCACATTTAAAATCGTAAGGGCCAGCATAATCCTGTCGTCCGAGTTCACTTCCAGAGGGACTGTGCAAGGTCAGCATACAAACTTTGGGATTTCTAGAGGAATTCTGGGAACAAGTTCTAGATATTTTTGTTTAAGGAAGCCATTAAGTAAGTGGAAAGACTGTAGCAGCTTCTGGCGGAAAGAGCGATAGATAGTTGTTCATCTGGAAGTGATAAACAACACGCCAGAGCAGAACATTGGCCTCCTGGATTATGTACTAAACAGAGTACTGAAGTAGACTCCGCTACGGAACATGAACCTTTTCCAGTTACTACATCAAAGGCAAGTTAAGTCAGTCACAAGGAGAGAAAGATGGAATGTGCCACAACGCTAGTCTAAGAGGCTTTATAGGACCAAGATAACTAAGTCTGGCTGTTTCTCTCATTTTGTTCACTTAGTTTTTGTATGATTTGCTGATTGCTGGGTTAGTCAAAAGATTTTTCAACACATTAAATAGACACCTACCCTGAGTTATGACAGCTTCAGTGCCTAATAAAAGTTGCCCACCGGAAGGGAGGCAGCTGTGGGGAATGTCCAGCTCACTAAATGCATTTTCTAATTAGCTGGGTAATTGCTTTGTGAGTCACTGATTTAATGAACACATGAGGTGGCGGGGATTCAAGGTGTGATCAAGATAGACAGTAGACAGGCTTGTTTCAATAAAGTGAGAATAAATGATTTCTTGGGGTGGGCGGATTTTAGTTTATCAAGGTAGAGAAAAACAATATAATTCTGTCTTGAATAAACACAGTGTAAATGGTGCCAATGTTGAGGAAACTGCTAAATCTTGACATGAAACATAAATGGCAAAATGGGTGCAGTAAATACAAACACAGAGACTCACACAGACATACACACAGACACACATAGACACACACACATTCACACACACACACACAAATGAAACCCCACAATAAATTACTTTCAATTTTAAGTCTTGGGAGTGAAAGTTAGAAATTAATTTATTTAGATATTGAAACAAGAGCTGGGTTTTTGTTTTGTTTTTTATTTTTTCAAGATAGGTTTCTATGCGAAGCCTTGGCTGTCCTGAACTCTCTTTGTAAACCAGGCTGGCCTTGACATGACAGCAATCTGCCTGTTTCTGCTTCCCTGAGTGCTGGAATTACAGGTATGCGCCATTGCCCCCAGCTGCAAAAGCTGTTTTTTGAAAGAATGTATTTTTTTAAGCCAGGCACAGCAACACACACCTGTAAACAACCAGTATTTCATGGGTGGAAGCTAGAAAATCGAGAGCTTAAGAGTTCACAGACATCTTTGACTATAGAGTCAATTAAAGGCCCACTATGTTTCAAAAATTCAATCCAAACAACAAAACACTTGTTTTGAAAAAAAAAAAAAATTGTTTGAGATGGGGATTCTCACGATGTTTTTAAGCCAGTCTTGGAGCTCTGGGCTCAAGTGATCTTATGTCTCTTCTTGGTGCTTTTTAAATGAGTGATTTAACCTTGTGCCCCACAACTATCATCCCAGGACCTGAGAGGCAAAGGCACCAAGGAGCCAGAGAGATGGTTTAGCCATTAACAGCACTGGCGGCTTTTCCAGATTACCTGAGTTCATTCTTAGCACCTGAACAATGGCCAACAGTCATCTGTGACTTCGATTCTGGGAGAATCCAGTGTCCTCTTCTGGCCTCCATGGGTACTGCATGCATTGGCAGTCAGGCCAGCAAAACAATTATACATAAAATACTTTTAATAGAGAGTCAAAGAAAGGAGGATTAAAGCAAATGTAAGGTGAACCCAACCTATATAGTAAGTTCCTAGTCACCAAGGATACACAGACCTTGTCTGGAAAAATAAACAAAATGAGAGTTCAAAATATTTTGTGGTTATTAGTATTAAGCATTAACTGTTTTAGGCTCTTTTAAAAAATATCAAGTACCTTGTTAGTGTTGAGAACCTAGAAAATGGAGGCAGGAGGTTGGGAGATCAAGATCATCCTCCCACATACCAAGTTCAGGACCAGCCTGGACTACAAGAGACCCTAACTCAAAGCAAGCAAGCAAGCAAGCGAGGAAACAAGAAGACTCCCGCTACTCCATGTACGATCCCAGTAGAGAATATATCGTCTAAGGAACTTAGCAATGGAGACCTCAAGCCTTCACTCTAAACTGCCTCATTCAGGGTCAGAATCTCACCAAGATCCCCCAAGGGATTTGGACATGTGGTAAAAGTTGGGAATCACTGTCTGCCTGTCACAGTGTAGACGCTGCATAGCCTTCTAAGACTCTCGCAGCCATTCTAAAATGCAGTTCTAGCATTGAGATGTTGGCTTTTCTAGGATCCCACAGCTAACGGACATCGATCTGTCTACCTTACCCATGTAGTGTATGATGTACAGTGGTTATCTCCCAGCTGAAGAGTTAGATACAGTGGCAGCTCTGTGTAAAGAGACCCCCATGCAACAGCCAGTCCCTCCTAGCTACAACAGCAGGAAACTAAGCCATTGACTCTTGTGCTAGCAATCACTTGCTCCACAGAAAAGCCTTTGCACAGTCATCCACTTACTACGGTATCCTGTAGACAGCCAAATACTTCAGTGGCCAGGGGAAAAAATGCAACAATTGTCAAAGTTATTTCCTCTGACCAGTGACTGTCAACCAAACATAAATCAAACTGCAAAGTACTATACACTCTCCAAGAAGAAGAGAGAAGATTTTCTATAGATCCAAATAATCAG